GACCATCGATGACCACCAGAGGGCAGTGCTGGACACGCAATCACAATCACTGCAAACTACATGCATCAGCTGAAACTCGGAGAAAGAGCTTTTTTTTAATGATATGAATAAATGTGAATATAATATATACATATATATATATATATATATATATTGTGTGTGTATATATATATATACTGTATTACATTGATCAATGCAATGTGATCTTACTGCTTTTATACAATATAGAAATCAGTCCAAATAATACACTTACAACCAGCAACTTTTTTGCACCGTTTCTAGAGTTACTCCTGAAGTATTGCAGAGTTCAGGAATTCGTTGTGAAAGCTGCATTGCCTCTTTTGGGCGTCTCGTTTTCTTGTGCTTATGTAATCTTAGCAACCAAAGTTTTCTGGGTCTGTTTTTTTTGTACATCTTTTTCCATCATTCCTCTTTGTAAGGAATCCACCCAAAACTTTCAACATAAAGCCTGGTTCCCCTCTTTAAAATATTTTTTTTCTTTTTTTTCTCTTTTTTTTTTAGTAACAGATCTGATTTAAAAAAAAAATGTAATCTCTCTCTCTCTCTCTCTCTGTCTCTCTCTCTCACTCACTCTCTCGCTCGCTCACTCACTCACTCACTCACTCTCTCTCTCTCTCTCTCTCTCACTTCTCTTCTGTGTTCCCATTTCTTTGGAATTTACAGTTTAATTAAAGCTATTTTTTAGATTCCAGCGATCTATATTTACATTTTTCTTCATAACTCCCAGATTACTACAAATATACTGTTGATATTTTTCCTCAAGAAACATTCACATGTGCTCAAATTGTACCAACAATACCATTATAATGAAAAAACAATACATGATCCTACTACTGAATTAAAAGTGGCCTTGGCAAGAGCCACGGTCAGGGGGAAAAGATGTGTAAACTATTGTGCTTATTTTTTATTATAATAATGACCATTTATGAAAGTTAACACCTTTCTGATGAGAGAAACATAATGAAAATTAAATTATTGTTCTTTACCCCTATTAAATTAAAGTTTTATCTCCAATGAAAATAACACGTAAAGATTTACATGGCATGCTGTCTTGTTACTTATAGATTAAAAAAAATATATACCAATCAAAATAAATAAAAAATAATACTAACATCACTTCTAAAATATAGAGAGATTGAGCAACAAAATAAAATGTAAAAAATACAGAAAATAACTTCTAATTCCTAATATAATTGTTTTTACTTTGGCTTACATTTCTTTAATAACTAAAGACAAAATTACTGAGGCAAACCCACTTTTTCTGTTTAGCCTATTTATTGTTTTAATTAGACATTAAGGACATAAGAGCATAACATAAAATATTTACAACTATAAGACATCTAAAAACATAACTCAACTAAAAGGACTGAGTTTACAATACAGGGGGGACATACAGCCATAATAGTCCGTGAGGCAAACCCCCAAATTTCAGAAATTTGTCTCATAAGAGGGCACCAATGCTACTCTTTTTTTATTCAACAGAGGGATGTCCCTGGACCACAAAAATGCATGATAGCAATTCTTAGTGGGTAGCTTAAGGTAAAAAAATTGCCAGTTTTATGTTTGACCCCCCAAACATTTGGCAAATTCCATTTAAGGTCGGTTATTTCTATAATTCATTATTTTTGGTACCAAAACATTCATACTTGGTGATATCTAGGTTGGAATTTTGTCGACATTTTAACTTGTTTAAAAAATATTGTTATTGTGATTATTTTTTTTGCAGAAAACATAGTGGTGTACAGCTTTAACTCGTTGTTTTAAACTTAAGACCAGTCTGTAAATGCCTCCGTTTAACAGGTAAGAATGAATTTTGCAATGAGGGCGTGGCTATCGAACAAACGCTCTCTGGCTATTCAGCGACTCGCAAGCTCGTTTAGAGCGGGGACCAAGAGTCCCCACAGAACCTTTCTGAGGATGCTAGGCCTCATGGCCTCTGCTTAATAAATACGTCCGCAGAGTATGCTACACATACTGCAGTACTGGCTAAAACCACAGGTTTCCCCCCAATCATGGCGCTAAAGCCATCTCTATATCAGGGTAAACCACGGCTGCACCAGAGCCCTGGTCGAAACCCAGTCTCTTGGAGTCAGGGGTGAGCTTGGACCAGCACGGAGAGACGGTTTCATATCAACTGCCTAGAATTGATGGTGGTTTTAAAACCTTTCTACCACATTTGTCAGGTCACCATGTCCTGGTCCACACGGACAACACAACAGTAGTGTCCTATATAAACTGCCAGGGGGGGAGGGGCTCAGGTTGAGACGACTGTACGAACTGGCCAGAAGTCTCCTCTTATGGGCAGAAAACAACCTGCGCTCGCTGAGAGCAACGCATGTTCCACGGAAACTGAACCAGGAAGCAGATATGTTGTCCCGGGGCAATGTGTCCCCAGGGGAATGGACCCTCCATCCCCAAACAGTTCAAATTATCTGGAGTGTTTTCAGGAGGGCAGAGGGCAAATTCTTTGCCTCCAAAGACAACTCTCACTGCCCAATATTTTTCTCGAAAAGCAGGAATGCGCTGGCCCACGAATGGCCCAGCCTTCCCCTGTATGCCTTTCCTCCAGTCTTGCTCCTCCCTCAGGTCATAAAGAGGATCAGGGAGGGCAGACACTCAGTCCTACTAGTGGCCCCTCTCTGGCGGACCCAACCTTGGTTCCCCGAGTTGATTCTGCTGCTCACAGCAGCCCCATGGCCAATACCCATGAGGAAAGACCTAGGCGAACAGGAAGATTTGGCACCCCCCGTCCCAAACTATGGGCCCTCAATGTGTGGCCCCTCGACGGGAGCTAGTGGAGCTCCCAGCAAGTGTCCTGAGCACAATCAATGAGGCTAGAGCTCCGTCCACAAAGACGCCTCTATGCTCTTAAGTAGTCTGTGTTCTCTGGCTGGTGCTCAGCAAGAAACCAGGACCCAAACCTATGTGAGGTGTCACTGATACTTTTCTCCAAACTCATTCAACCCTGTTTAAAGCACAAGTGATCACTCTCTCTGCTCTTCCCACATCGGAAGATGAGCAGCAATTACACCTACTCTGCCCGGTACAGACGCTCCGCTCAGTACAAACAGTCAGAGCAGCTCTTTATCTCTTAAACCAGCAGCCATATCACCCTGTAGCCCAAGACTGGTTGCCCACTGAAGCTAAGCAGGGCTGAGCCTGGTTAGTACCTGGATGGGAGATCTCCTGAGAAAACCAGGTTGCTGCTGGAAGAGGTGTTAGTGAGGCCAGCAGGGGGCGCTCACCCTGTGGTCTGTGTGGGTCCTAACGCCCCAGTATAGTGACGGGGACACTGTACTGTCAAAGAGCACCGTCCTTTGGATCAGACGTTAAACCGAGGTCCTGACTCTCTGTGGTCATTAAAAATCCCAGGATGTCTTTCGAAAGAGTAGGGGTGTAACCCCGGCATCCTGGCCAAATTTGCCCAGTGGCCTCTGTCCATCATGACCCCCTAATCATCCCCATATATATATACACTGATTGGCTTCATCACTCTGTCTCCTCTCCACCAGTAAGCTGGTGTGTGGTGGGCGTTCTGGCGCAATATGGCTGCCGTCGCATCATCCAAGTGGATGCTGCACATTGGTGTTGGTTGAGGAGATTCCCGCTTCCATGTGAAGCGCTTTGAGTGCCTAGAAAAGCGCTATATAAATGTAATGAATTATTATTATTATTATTATTTATGAGCTTCGGTGGTCGCACAGTGCTTGATCATAAAGCAAAGATTATGCCGATGGCTGGTGGATGCTATGGCTTTAGTATATGCCTCTATGGGCCTGCAATGCCCCATAGGCATCACAGCTCCCTCCACTAGAGGCATGCCTCCTCCTGGGCATGGTCCAGTGGAGTATCTATTGGCGATATATGTATAGTGGCCGGCTGGTCCTCGCAGTCCATCTACGCCAGGTTTTATAACTTGGAAGTCCCTGCACTGCAGGCACATATCCTTTCTGTGTGATGAAGTCAGCCTCAGTGAGCCAGGCCCATCATAATTAGGGCTTTTGCCCGTTCAACACGTCATGCCAAAAGGCCCTTGCTTCGGACCCTTATGCAAGCATCCTGACATCAGAAGATGTCGTTGCTCTTATCATAGCACAGCGTGATTGGGTTGGTTCCCCATAGCGTATAGCTACGCAACACATATGACCGTTCGAAGGGAGATATATTGAACCATATTTGCACAAAATATTATTTTGTGTTAATATAATTCCAAAATTGTGTTATATTTTCCGTATTTTGTTGTATATTTTCTGTCCTAAAGAGCATATATATTTTATTTTATTTTTAATTTCACAGTGATATCTCATCATAAAAGAGAAGATCTAAAGCAGTGGTTCTCAACCCTGTCCTGGCGTACCCCCAACACTACACGTTTTCCTTGTCTCCCTAATCAAACACACCTGATTCAACTCATCAGCTCATTATCACATGGGTTAATGAGCTGATGAGTTGAATCAGGTGTGTTTGATTAGGGAGACAAGGAAAACGTGTAGTGTTGGGGGTACGCCAGGACAGGGTTGAGAACCACTGATCTAAAGCAATAGATATGTCAATATAACAGTTTATCAATGTTGAGATTTAGTTTGCATAATTAGAATTTTTCAGCACAATTAAATGTAAAATTGGTATTTTTCATACCTTAAGGCTTAAGCTACCTACATGGCACTGCTATCATGCATTTTTGTGGTCAGGGGGCATGCCTGTTTTGAAAAATAACCATTAGAATTGGTGCCCTTTTTGATACCAATTTTCTCCCCGCCTCACGGACTATAAAGACCTTCAAACAAGGTTAAGCATTATTTATTTTACTTTTATGAATATGAAATGTACCCACCTTATCTATTTAGTGCTGGAGTCAGCGGGCCCGTGACGTCATACGGCAGCTGCGGTGACGTCAGGAGGGGGCGGGGCCTGTCGGAGCCTCTGCTGACCTCATACTTTTTCATCCAGCGTTCATCAGCTCTTCTTCCTCTCCGACGCAAACGCTCACACGGTCATAAACGCGAGTTCGTGGGATACTTCATTTCACAGCGGGCGGACGCGGGATGGATTGTTTTGTGTGATTTGTTTCGCCTGAAGGATTTAAGAGAAGCTCTGTAAGGGTTAAAGAGAAACAGAAGGATACACGTTGACAAAAGACCCCTATATGAGGCTTCGAAAGTGAAGAGAGAAAACTAGTAATAAAAGCCATAAGGTAAAGTTATGCTGACCGCCGAATGAAAGGACGCTGTTTTATTTGGTTTTGTTTATAGTAAATGGTGAAGTGTTTTTTAAATCAGATGTGAGTGTGAAATGTGAGAAAGTCTTGAGTAACGGTCCTTCTCTCGCAGATATGTTGGGTGGTTTATAAAAAGATCTTGTATCTTCTTGAGTTGAGTTAGACGCCTCGCTGGCACTTTACGTGTTTCTGTGTGTGATTTCTCGCACACAACAGGGGAAAGCGATCGACTCTACACTTCTCTGGTGTCTTGTTCATCTGTTTTCTCTATCACATCCAAACTTGTTGCTATAGGGAGAATCTTTTTTCTTAGCATTTTGTCCTCGTATCCTACGTTTGTTTATTCGGCTGAACATTTCGTTTACATTGATTCATTATTATTATCAGTAATCAAAATATCTGTTTATTTATTATGTTACACAGTTGTATTTCAAAATGGAAAAATGGAACGATGACGTATAGAACGTTCGAACGTGTATGATGTCATCATTTGACTTTCAAATGTAGCGATTATTTCAGGCTGCAGGTTTGTGTGGAACTTGATTTGGACTTTAGAATTGTTATATATATATATATATATATATATATACACATATATATATATATATATATATATATATATATACACATATATATATATATATATATATATATATATATATATATATATATATACACATTTATATATATATATATATATATACACATTTATATATATGTATATATATATATATATATATATATATATATATTTCAAGCCGTATACTTGAAATCCTTTACTAATAAGCAATGGAATAAGAAATAAACAATGAAATGTATTAGCCTAACTTTACATTTACATTGCAATAACTTACACTAGGTGACATTGTTACAGTGTAATTATGCATTTATGAACTGAGTAATATGAATTAACAACATGTACTTACTATAGACTCGAGTTAAGGTTGGGACTATTTTGGCTGAGGGTTAGTTGCATGTTATTCATAATTTATTACTATGGTTAGTAGCACATGTAACATGTGTAACAAGGACACTGTAAAATAAAGTGTTACCCACTTTATTTTATCAGTGTCCTTGTTACATGTTACTTGCCATAGTAATAACAGTAAATTACCGGTATGTATAATTACATCCAACTATACCTCAACCAAACCCTAACCCTATAGTAAGTACATATAGTTAATTAATATTACTCAGTTCATAAATGCATAATTACACTGTAACAATGACAGCTTAAAATAAAGTGTAGCTTAACCTAAAGTGCTTTCATAATGAATGTGCTCATCTGTTTTCCTAGGTAAATGCAACTAACCGCTATCCAGTATTTAAACACAGCCATGGTATTGGTCTGGACTAACTATACAGTACAGAATGGCATATTCACAATATTCCTCCTTTTACTGTAGGACTAGTAATAGGATTCAGAACATATTGGACACAAATGGAAAACATGAGTGAGAGCAACATAAAAAAAAACATCTGTCATGGTTTCTGTTTACAATCAATTTCTCAAATACGACCAAAGCAAGTCTGCTTCCTAAAGCTGACATGTTCCTTTGAAATGTCAATACTGCAGGACACACACTGCATTGATGAACGGGACACACACTGCATTGATGAACCGCCGTGACACCCTTGTACCCACTCTAATCTGAAGAGGACGTCCGGCTCCTCTGTCCTCTAGATCAACCTTGCGTCTGACAGCAGAGGAGCTTTTCTAATCTAGTAAATGTACATTGGGTTCCAGTATATCAGGTGTGTGGTCTGTTGCATGTGTTCGCTGACGGCACATGACCTCTGACCTTCACAACAGCTGCTGGACAGAAGAAAACCTTGTTGTTGGACCTTTAATAGTGAATCCTTTTGACAGATAAGTGCTGTGTCACAGTGGATGTGTTTCTGCTTTGTTGTTATATATGAAGGTATCAGTAATGATTATAACTTTAAGTTAGAGGTTAGTTTTTCTTGTGAAGTTTTTTTGTGCGAGTGCAAAGGAAAGTGTTGAAAGAGTTCCCATTTATCTCTGGTCCAACATATTGAATTGCATACATATGCTTATGTTTTTTTACTAAAACTAATTTACTTCACGTGTTTAAGCTTTTAGATCAAAAGCTCTTTAAAGATCATGCAAAACATAAAGTTAGTCAAGTGTGTCCAAACTTTTCATTGGTACTCTACATGTGCATTATGTACAGAATCATATTAGTGTGATTATTTTTCATGCACTCTTGTCAATAGAATCTTGTTTGGCAGTCGTTCAGAACTGGTTTTGATCCTGCATCCAGTGAGAGGACAGTCACTTTGACAATTCAATTCTCTGTACTTCTATGCATGCATATGTTCAGAGAAATGCAAAAATATATCATCCAGACTAAAATGCAAAATCTTTCATCATTTACTGTACCAAACCCATATGATTTTCCTTTCTTTCTTGTTTTTTTGGAAGTGTTTTCATGTTGCTCTGCTCCATCCAGTAGAAGTGAATGGTGTTCTGTCAAACTCCCTAAAACGACAAAAAAGTACCATAAAAGTAGTCCATATGACCCGTGCACTGTACTACAAGGTTTTATACAAAAGCTGTGAGTGAGAAACACACTGAAATGTAAGTATAAGCCACTGTAAATCTCCCCTTCCGTCGTAGATATTATTGAATAAATGTTCATATTAAAATTGGACATTCTACAGCCAGTAATAAGACAGTAATCAATGACATTTGGCATCAGGACATCAAACCTGGTGTTACAATTAGAATATAGAAAAACTTGAATGAGATTTGAGAACAATAGTGGAGGACAGGATCAGTGATACGTTTCTTAAGGTTCACACAATGTCACTTGTGGTCGTTTTTGGACATTTCTGACACTGATGATCACCAGCCTTTAATGTATGAAAGGAAGCGGCTTCGACATTTTGGAGATATTTTTAGCATCTCTACCCACATTTTTTTTTTATGGTTTCATCTTGTGGGCCATATATGCTGTCTTTTTTCCACATACGTTTCATGTTGTTCTGAGTGTCTGTTTATTTATTATAAGGTTGTTGTGAAGGTTTCAGACTTAAAGGGATAGTTCATTCAAAAATAGTTTTGCAAAAATGACTAACAGTCATCATTTACTCTCCCTCATGTCGATCCAAACCCGTTCATCTTCAAAACACAAAATTAGATATTTTAAAGTCCCCCTGTGGTGAAAATCAAGCTTTTAATTGTTTATATGTCTATGTGGTGTTTTTTATTTTGCTTTAATAAGTCTCATAAGTCAACACCATTGCTGAGTATTTTCTTTGAACCAAAGACAGTCTCAAGATTGCTGTAAAAATGATTAACAGATTTAATTTAGGCTTTTATTCACATATAAACATTGATCAATGCACACATGATATATGGTCAACAGAAACTCAAGCATGAGAACCAATCAGTTCATTACCATGTGTCACGTGTGTGGTTTGAACCAATGAGGTTTGTTTCTACGCATCAAGCAAGTATGGTTGAGCTTCTCGCTGATCAATGTTTACGTGAATAAAGGCATAAATGAAGTGTTTTCATCAAATAAAGCGATCGAGTCTCTTCAGAACATTTTTACTAAATCATTTGAACTAGATTCAAATGGATTAATTTTACGATCTCTTTATGACCTTTTTGAAGCAGCAACTTTTGACTTTAGTGTTACGAATATGAACGAACGTCTTACGGGTTTGGAACGGCGTGATGTCAAAATTGAGTAAAATGAAACTTTTCATCTCAAAATCTCTCAAAACATTTGTATTTTAGAGAAGTATACTTAAATATTCCAATTCAGGATTGATTTTTGTTTATGTAATCCTTCCCCCCCAAAGAATTTAAGACTCTAAACCCTTTTATGTTTCCTGTTGCGATTAAGAAGCTCAGAGTGTGTGTAAACCGCTGCTGCACTGGTGATATCTCTTGTTTGAGGCTGGTCTGGAAAACAGACGCCTGTCTAATCTGATCTTCTTTTGTCCCCTCCCTGTTTTCTTCGAGCACTTCTCATTGCTCTTACTGCCAATAAGAAAGAACCTTCGTTTTTTTTGCCGGTGTACAATATAAGCAGTATTCACGTGAGCCAACGGAGGTCACACAGTAAATTAGCTTGAAATTGACCTGGAATGGCATGTGGTCAATGCAGTATTGTGCAGCTGGTCTCTCGTATGTTTTAAACGTTTTCCTTGCCAATCTGTGGTAGAGGAACCTTAATAAAAATGCTGAAACCAAACAGTTGTTATGCATGCTTAAAAAAAACTGAGTGGAAAGAAAGCTGATCTGTTATACCATAAAAATTCACTTAATATCTACTGCTTGCCATAAGTCTAATGCATTAAATGCAGATGCAAATGATTACAGTACTTACGTGTACTTACAGTGTACTTACCTAGAAAGTACTGGCTAATATAAGGTAAGTACATGGGTTAGGGGTAGGTTCAGGGTTAGTACCTAGTTATTACCCAGTAATTATAATTACTATAATAAGTACATAGTAAGTACATGGGTAACAGGACTGTAAAAGGAAGCGTTACCAAGCTATGTTATTCACCTTGTACTTCTTACTTGAGCATTAATTAATGTAAGTTCTTTGAAATAAATAGATGGCCTGATGTTAGTTTGGGAAAGTTTTGAATCAATGCTGCACAGTGAACAGCTGGTGTTTTACAGCTGTACGTAGAAATGCAGAACTGAACCATCTGTCAAAAAAAAAAAAAATAGATTAATAAAAGATTCATATCATTTGTACGTCTGTAAAGTTATTTATACAAACAGTAAATTACCGTATTTACATTTTAGGCCACATCCACACGAAACCAGAGCTTTCCCTATCCAATCTTTTTTTTTCCTCGTTCTAAATTTTTTTTTGTAAACACGGCATCGTCTCAAGAAATATATATGCGTACACACGAAACCACTGAAACCGATGTGGTATACATGCCAGACCAGTATGTGGCGCTGTAATTCTGCCACAGAGATA